TCTCCTCAGGGCTGCTCTCCATCCATTCTCCGCCCAGCCTGGATTTGTGCTTGGGGTTGCTCCGACCTGTGAGCGGGACCTTGCACTTGGCCATGTTGAACTTCAGGAGGTCCGCATGGGCCCACCTCTCCAGCCTGTCAAGGTCCCTCTGGATGGCAGCCCAGCTCGGTGTCGTCGGCAAACTTGCTGAGGGTGTGCTCAATCCCACTGTCTGTGTCACTGGCAAAGATGTCACCACGCCTAAAGCTGGAGACTCCAGAGCAGCCGGGAGAAGGGGGAGCGGAGGCAGCTCCCCTGAGCTGGCTCTCAGTGCCTGGCTGCAGGCAGAACGTGCCCAGGGGAGCACGGCTGAAGGCAGGACGCAGCCCAACGGAAGGGCTGAGGTGTGGGCAGTCAGAGAGACCTGGGGAAGGGTGAGGATGGACCGCTGGGTTTTGGCAGGGGGGAGGTTGAACCTCTGCTCCTTCCAGGAGAGCAGACCTGGGCCTGGGGAGTAGGCATGGACAGTCTCCAGAACTCCCAAGTGCCTCTTCTCTGCCTTTACCTGGGGCGAGCCGGTCCTTCATACCACCAAAGAAACGACACTGGAGGGACTCGGAAGCCATCTCAGAAATCCTTGTAGAGAAAAGCAGCCCAGCAGCCAGCCCACCTACAGGTTCTAACCCCAGTGCAACCAGAAGGTCTACTCCTCTGTTCCTTGCCACCATGGGTCAGGTGCCTGCTCCCGGGAGTAGCCGTTTGCATCCCATCCTGATCCGCAGACCAGCGCCAGGGGCTTCTGCGAGGTTTCTCAGAGGCTGCTCTTGCCGCGGCCATGAATGCACCAAGGAACCATGGGCTGTGGGTAGGGTGAAAATGGGAATGTGCCGAGAGGAAAACAGACTGGGTCCCAAAGTCAGCAGAAGACTGGCCAGAGGCTGTAAAATCTGCTGGATGAGGAAAGACCAAGAGAGCTGAGGCGTCCCACCGCAGGGAAGAGGAGGCTGGGGGGAGAGCTGAGGTCTCCCAGGGGCGAGGACAGCCGAGCAGTGCTGTCACCGGACAAGCTTTGTAAGCTGCCCGTGCCTTGGGACAGGGTCGCCTTGCAAACCTGCTTCCAGGCTGATTTCCAAGCCTCTCGCTGAACTTCGTTCAGGTGCTGAAGAAACAGAGTGGTTAAACCAGGCCCCACATCGCAGTGCCTTGGAGCCTGCAGTGATGGTCCTGGGAGGCACTGGCTGAGACGCGACGGGGCGAGAGATGCTCCTCGGGCTGCTGTGAGACAGCCTGACGTCAGGCAGGGAGGGGACACGGTTCACTGGATCACGGCCTTCGGCCCTTGCTGCCATTTGGCTGTGCTGATGATGAGGATCTTCATCCCCGGGAAGGCCCAGCACGTGGGAAGGGCTCTGGGGCACAGACCTTCTCCAAGCCGGGAGCCACCTTGCCCTGTTGCAATTTCCTCAGCTGGAAAAACGTAGTTCCTTTGGGATGAGCAGGAGAAGACGTGCCACACCGCAGGCTGGGGAGGTCCTCCACAGCTTGTTGCAGGCTTGCATCCCGTGGGACATCCCTGTCGGTGCTGCCGGGCTCACCTGGGCTCTTTGGTGGGACAGCACCAGCGATGGACGCCTGCAGAGGCCCAGACACAATTCTACCCTCTTCTCATCCTTGTTCTCTTCACGTGCTGAGACCCTGCGAGACGCTTCGCTCCCCACCAGCCTCTACAGCCCACTCCACTGCTCGCTGAAGGCAGAAGAAAGACTTTGGTTCACTTCCACAGGCTGCAGACAAGGATCTTGCGTGCCGGGGCTAGAAGTCAGCTTTCAAATAACATCCTCTAAGGAGAATTTCTCCTAACCCCTTCCAGCAGAACCGCCGTGTTCAGGGGGGTGTTCTCTTTGCATCGAGCCCGTCTCTTCTTCTGTCCCCTCTTCCCACGTGAACCGTCTGCAGCGAGCTGCAGAGCACGGCTGAAGGGCAAAGCCAAGCCTGCTTCAGACCAAACAGCACTTCAAGGCCTGATGCTGCTGCCAAGGCCGCAAATAAAAGCCTGCCCAGGAGCTGCCATGTGCGAGGCGGCTCTGCTCCACAAGTCACCTGGGTATCTGGAAGCTGCACACGGATGCAATTTATTTCACTTGGAGTCCAAAAAAGCTCAGGCGGCCTCTAAGAGCAGAAAATGCTCCAGGCCCATTCCACTTTTCCTCCCTCTTTCTTTTCGTACTGGAATAACAAATGCAAAAGCCCGGGCAGTGAAAAGGCGGAACGCGGCGAGCTCTCAGCCGACGCTCAGAGCAGCGAAACTTCTGCTTGCTGGCACAGACCGAGGCACCAGCCTCAAGCACGGCCTGGCCTGCTGGACCACCAACAGCTATTTTCAGGTAGGTTCCTTCAAATTTTGGAGCTGAGCAATAGGCGAGCTTGGCTCCACAGTTAAAGCACCTATGAGAGGAAAACAGAGCTGGAAAGATCATAGCAGGGACCCTGCAAACTCCTGGCTTGAAGGACTTAAAGGCCAACTGGTTTTGGTTAGGAAACCACGTCTCAGATGGGTCTTAGGAGACACAAATGTAGTGAGAGGCCAAAGCTCTGCTGTCTCCTGCAAAGGCTGGTGAAGCTGGGTGGTGAAGTGGGTGAGAAGCGTTGACCTTCAGGCTTTGGGAGCAGTCCTGGCCACCCCAGCGCCGGGCTGGATCCGTCCCTGGATCTCCAGAGGAACGCTGCAGCTTCCTTGACGCCGGCGCCCAGCTTTGCAAACACGCACGCAGCTCTCAGACGGACGGGCCGAGGCCTTTGTGGACTACGATTTGAGCTGTCTGCCTCTCGTGTGAGCAGAGCTCGTCACAGGTTTGCTCTCCACTCTACCTCTGTTGCATGCGAGCCCCACTCCTCGCCGACCTGTCCTGCCCACGCATCCACACCTGGTACCATGCCCTTTCCAAACTGGAATGGTTTTCTCCTGCAGATGAGTCCAAGTGAAAATGCTCTGCGTAGCCTTGCCCTGCTTTTGTCTTCTATTCCTTCAGCAGAAACCCCTTTTTTCTCCTTACTCAAAGCCACCGGAGATGCCACGTGGCAAGCAGGCTCTCGCCCTCCTTCCACCCCACCCGCAGCCCCACGAGCTGTGTGAGTTCCCTTCTGACCCCAGTCTGCACCCGGGGCTGCAGGAACGCGCTGCTGCTCCGGAGCCTGCTGCCAGCCAGGTTTGGGACGCTGCTGCGGAACAGAACCTTCCCGCGGCTCGGAGAAGAGAGATTTTAGCCTGGGAGTAAGGAAAAGGGATTCCACCAAGGGTGGAAAACTCCCAGGGAGGGGTTTCTTGCCCGGCAGCAAGGCTGCGGGGGGGCACATGCGCTGGGGGGGGCTGATTCTGTCCGTGACAGCCGCCTCGCCCGCTCCTTCTGACTCCCACCTCGTTTCTCGGAGCGTTCCTTACGACTCTCCACCTGCATGTCACAAGCAAGCCGATTTTCCGCGACAGATTAAG